TTTCCTCCTTAGCCGCAGAAAGTGAAGCTGACAAAGGCCTTCCAGGGCAGCTGCTGGAGCCTCGCAGCTCCGGCTGTTGGTCTGTCTTGTCCCGGTGTCTGCTGAGAACATCATTAACTCCAGAGAGGAATACACCTATCAGCTTCATGCTCATTTTCTATTAATGTTGTCTTAATAAAGTTCAGCTATGGAAATAGTGTGCAAAAATGTCAGAAATAATTCGCTCAGCTCTGCTTTCAGGAGTGCTAATTCTAGCACACTATGCACTTACTGTGCTGTTTGCTATGTGCCTAACCTTTTCCAGCTAATGTCAATTTTTGAAAAATTCATCTATGATTTACTTGGATCTTTTGATATCTTGGAACTTTTTATTACAAAGGAACATATAAAGACAGGATTAGCAATTTCTTGATGATATCCCTTTACCTGCCACTGACAAAGGAGCAAGATCAAGGAGAGCAACTTCTCTGTTAATTAATGTCATCTCAACAAGAGGTGGTGGCAGCACATCAAGCTATAAATAATGCTCTTTGCCAACTCACGGTACGCACAGTAACAAAATTTGGCTGGGAGGAGAAAGCAGAGAGAGTGCCTGCTGGTTTTCTTTTTTCTCTTTTTCTTTTTTTATGATTTGTTTATTTTGTACAGAGTACCTGGCAAAATCAAGAGACATACCTGAATGCAAATTGTTGACCCACACATTTCCCGAGACACAGTGATTGATACAGAATCTCCCTAATGAAAAGAAAAAAATTGAAAACTATTATTTTCCATATCCTGGAACAATGAAAATGTATTGTGTCTCTCCAGCTCTTTGGTTTGTTTGCCAATAATGCTGTATGTTCTACTGGGTCAGAAAATTAATAAAGCATATATTCATTATGGAAGGTTATTTATTTCCAGAGATATCCCTGGATCTCAATGAGCATAAGTAGCTAGTGTAGTTTTGCCAAGCACAATCTGGGCAGCACATGAAGACTGCTAATGTTCCTGTGTTTTAGGAAGCATCATAAGGCAGGACACTCTGCCCGCCGTGGCTGCTCACATGACATTGGCCAATGAGCATCTTCACTTCTTTTCCCTGGTGTACACGAGTTGAAGGAACAACCCTTTCTTTACAGATCTTCTGGATTTCCCATCACATTGTATGCTGAGAACAAGTTCAGCCTGAGGGTAAAATTGTCCTAAATGACTGTTCTGACACTTAACATTTGATTGTTTATGGTTTGTCCTCAAAATAATGTTAGTTACTCCACTAATAGCTATGAATCCTACACTGCTTTCTTTAGTGTGGCAAACTCCTAAAACAATTTGGGGCAAATTAGGTGAATATGTTCTTTTTGAGCACAACTGAACAGGGATTACTAGGTAGAGAATGAACGTTGGTTTCTGGGAACACAGAACTAAGTCTTGATGAAACCTTTGTGTATATTGCTCATAGTATTGAGAAAGGAACTGTACATAATTTATATGGGCTCCCATTCCGTTACAGTTTTGTACTGGAGGGAAGAAAACAGCATTTTTAAATGCATGAGTGCCCTTCATGAAACACACAACTTCAATACCTAGCTGTGATTTATTGGTGCTCCACCATTACCCTTCACACTTAGCAACCCACACAGGAAACCTCTAAAACCAGAAAGTCTAAACTCCACAGATTTAATGTGAAATAAGCAGGCTGAAGAAAAGGGCCACTGTAAGTGTTCACTGAACATAGTGTTTGACAACTCTACGACCATCCATATCTCCATCTCTGCCAGTAATACAGCATTTCTGCAGATACCTTGCCCCATTAGGATAGACTCTTGATAGCACCACCAATGCCCTCTGTGGTCTGCGCTGATTAAGACAGCTGTTTTTTCCTAGGCCTTTCCCCATGATTATTCAGCTCTGAGATCTCCCGCAGGAGCAGTTATCACATTCCACTTAAGCATGTCCTCAGCTTGAGCAGCAAAGCTGAGTTGGGAAACTCTGCTTTTAACAACTGCTCAGTTACATTCAGCACCAGAGATGTAATAAAGACCTAAACTGAAGAAAAGAAATTCAACTTTCAGTGTCCACCCCTTTAAGAAGTCCTTATTCATAGCTGCCTGCTTCTCAGCTACCCTCTGGTATGTGTACCCTGCACACTGAAAGCATCAGAGGTACTTGAAAAAGTCACACATGCAGCATGTACCTGCATACAATACCAAAGAAAGAAGTACTGCTAGAATATATCCTAAAAAGAGGACAGGTGTAGGAGCTACAGCGTGCTTGTGTCTTCTAAAGCACACCCCCCTGCAGCAGAGTGAAGTCAACGGGCACAGTCAGGAATAACAGTAGAAATCACAACATCTGGATTTCTCATCTTTCTCAAAATCCGTCATATGACATCTCATATACATGGTCAGTGGAGCAGACAGCAGGAACACACATTTAGGGGTGGACGTAAGACTACTGAGGAGGTGGCTGCTGAAGCAGCAGGATGCCTTTCAGCACGGTGGTCCTAGTAGCTCCTAGGACCCATCCTGCTAATATTTTCCTATTTGAAAAATAATGCTATGGCCACTCTTCTGCTCTTTGATCCCACTTTCCAGATGTACCTCTCAGTAGATAACAGGTCAGGCCAACAAGGTAACTCTGGTAGGCAGGGTTGAGAGGCAAGGGCAAGCCACAGTGCTGCACTGAAAATGTACGAGATACAGGCTTAGTTGCAAGAGAGGAACGAGGCTTCCATTTCATGACTAGCTGCTGCCTGAAACTGAAATCTCACCCTCCCATCATCTTTTCTCTCTTTCCTCCTACTTTACTGGAAGAAGCAGTTGTGTAGTCACACCGTCAGCTGGCTCAAAAAGCTCATTTGGCTGAAAAGTTACTTTTTTGTATGTTGAGTTTGTTTTGGCAGCTGTGAGACTTAGAGTGGCTCAAGATCATTATGGATTTATCCCTCAAGTTTTACATTTCATAATGTGAGACTTGTCAAGTCAACTGTATCAGTGACCTATATATGAAATACTAGCAGTAATATTTGCTATATACATAATACAAGTACTACACCACAAAAGTGATGTTAAAAGAATATTAAGGTTCTGCTCAATAGTCAGTTCCTTTGATGTGACTCATTTGACTTCAGGATCTTTATTTATATCTTGCTTCAGTGTGAGATCAGAATTAGAACTACATGCTTTAAAAATGTTCCAGTAATTGTTCCAATAGGTACATGCATAGACTTATTAATGCTTTCAAGTTGCAGAGCGATAAATGAAATAATAAATGAATGCAGTTAGATATGTTTAAAAGTCTTACAAAGTTTAAGAAATAACATATACAAACCACAGAGACTGAATGGTGCATCCCAACAGATTCACATGAGGCCAGCTGCGTCCTGTTACACACAAGCACTGAGAATTGTGCCTTGGTTTGTGATGTGAAGAAAACTTGTATTTGTTCTGCAACTGCAACAGTTCTCATTTTCCAAGCTGATATTAGGGGAAAAGACTTACTTTTAGACATACAAGGACCATACATTATATTCTAAATTGTTGTATCTAAAATAAAAGCCTTTTTAATTAGTTAAGTGCCATCAAATGATAAGCAAGTAATTATTTTAATTCCCACAAGTTACTTTTTATACTGATAAACAGTTGATCTACTGGGGATACATAGAAATAACAAGCTGTCAAATCTCTTTGCCATAATTTACAAGCTACAGTGCTGTGAACACATCTCACTTGCTTACTGAAGAAGGCTCATATCTAGTGACTGTTTTCAATATTTTTCATAATATAATATTATGTAAGTAAAAAAAAAATATTTACCTGGAAATTCCCCATGAGCAAATGGACATTTAACCCAAGAGCCTGCCTTGGTTGTAAACTGAAAGCAGAAAAATCTGTTAGGAAAACTGAATTTTCAATTTCAATCTGTGGCTACAGATTCAACTAGAGATGATCAGTGCATTCCAGAAAGCTATAGAAGGTGAATTCACAGCTTTCCTGCTCTGTGGTATCTTCCAACCCTTGATTTAAATCAGGTCTCCCAATTCTTCAGGTATTTATACACATGCTTATTTTATAGAAACATGTAGTTCCACTGACTTAAAACAAATCTAAAAGAAAACAATAATATGCCTATATTAACCTTATGTGGCATTTTTTTCTCAACTAGAATAATAAAAGGTACTCCAGTAAATGTAGTGTATTGATCATTTTTATTATCAAATATTTAATACAGAAAACTTTGTACGGTAAGTTTAGCGCGTGCTTCAGAGTTTGCATTGACCTAAAACATTTTTTTCCTGCTTTTCTTAAGCAGAGAAAACAAAGGGCACAATCTGACCTGTGTCCTATCTATCATTGCTGCTGCACTTCCAAAGAACCTCCTTTTAATCTAATCTTTCACATTTCCTTCATTCTTACTTCTCATTCATCAGAGCTATGAAACAGAATATTGATCCTAAAGAACATTAGCAACTCATTTTTTTAGAGCTGACAGAAAGAGCGCAGTTAATAGGTGTTTTACAAATAAATCCCTTTACCTTCATGCAAAGTCTTGGGTGAGTGTCCACACGAGAATATTTAACCTGCTTGAAAAGACAGCACTCAGCATTAGCTAGTTTCATTAACTAGTTTCACAAAATCAATTACCCCAAATTTTCATGGTTTGATTACTAAGAAAGGAACTGGTTTGTTTACTTTATAAGCATCCCAGGAAGTTAATCAGATAAAATAGTAAGAATAGAAACAACCACTGCTTTGGATTACTGAATAATTTGTTTCTTGTTATCTGTAACATGTAGCATTTTTTAGAGCCAGTCTGACCCATTAGAGCTAAATTAATTGACCCTATGGTGGCTCATGTGCAAAATTCTGATTACATAGTCGTCTTGTTTCAGTCTCTTATTTACCACTCATCAGTGAGTCAGCAGAACATTTAAACATACACCCAAAAGCGTTGTTCCACCTTCGTTTCAGAAATTTTCAACTTTCCATATCCCAATTCCCAAAGACTTAAACCTTGAATCTTAGACATCCACTTAAGTGACCTACGAAATGTTGCTTTCTTGATTAACAACTGTTTACCTGCCAAGGCCTTCCTCGTAAAAAGCTTTGTCTCATATAAACAATTACTACCCATATAAGTGATCTTACTTAAATAAACACCATTGCTCAAGTGACTGAGCGCAACACAGGGCATCGTGACCAAACACCTCTTTCCTGCAACTTTTTTGAGTAGAACATAATGGATGTCCTTGGGAAGGTCTACAATAGGGTCACAGAAGATATTCCTGTAAGAGTCCACTCAGATATGGAGACAGCATTGCCACTGACAAAGAAAGACCCTGCCTAATTAGAGAGAAGAGTAATGTCACTTTTGGGCCTAAGTCAGTATATGTGCATAGTATCAGAGTGTGCACCATTGTGTGGATTTACTGGGGGAGCTGGCACTATCTGAGGAACCTCTGCAGTAGCCTCCAGCACACTATAGAGATGCTTTTCAGGATTATATTACAATAAATGGACAAAATCCAGTATCAAACCTTTTAGGATTAATTAGAAAAAAAGCAAAAATCCATTCTGTTCATGAATTTTAATAGTCAGCTATTAAGTGCATTAAGTAAATACAGGAAAATGCTCATTGTCTATAATAAACCAACCTTGGATTGTGTTCTGAGTAATAGATATGACCATTACCAGCCAAACGTAATTTTAGGCTTTTTTTTTTTTTTTTTTTTTTCTCTTCTGCAAGCAATGAGTTGTGCTTGTTGTCAGCAGATGACAAATCCCACAGGGACCACTCACATGTGTAAAATTTGGGTTTGCAAGATCAAAGCTTTGCTCAAACCCATAAAATGGTGAATCTGAACAATCACTACACACTTGGCCAGGAGTTCCTAATCAAAAAAGCATTCAATAGTCTTGAGTCAGCCCCCCCCCGCCCCAATCATGTCATCAGAATAATACTCAAAGTTTCAAAAATTAAGAATTTGTATTTGATTTTATTTGCCTTTTCAGTTGTTCAGTTTATTGGCTTCTCTCCACAATCAGGAAAGCCTGAAATCTACTTTTCAAGATGAAAGCCAGAATTCTAACCAACGTCATAAATCCAGTGCATTCAGCATCATGAGACTTCAGATTGAAGTAGTAAGCAGTTCAAGATCCATGCAGTGAAAACCCTTTTCAACTTTAGAACATAAGTACTGGAAGAACTGAGGGACCCAATATTTCAACACCCACAATTTCAAGGCATTGGACCAGGTTGAGAAAGGCACTTCAAATAGATCTTAATAGAATGCAAAACAAACATGCCCTACCAAAGTACCATTATGTCTCCAGTAACATTTAAAGAGATTTAGTTTCATCTCATTTACATTTCAGGTGTTTAAATGTTAAATATCCAAATCTGATCTAATCACAATAGACTCTTGTGATAGTCACTGAAAAGAAAGAGGTACCTTCAGAGAGAAATCCCTTCAACCTTTCTTATATGCCTAGCTTCAGATGAGAAGCGTTGTCCTCTCAGTATGTCTGTTTCACTTACTTTAAAGGGAATCTGACACAAATAGCGTAGACTGGAACACCTATGTTTTAGACAGTAAAGTCATGGCAGATGAATCATGCCTTTACTATAAATGAAAAGCAGACCCTATTTACCCCAAAGAATTTAGCAAACATTACTAGCTTCACAGTCATCTCCACTTCTTATTTCTTAATAGTGAGTCAGTGAGCATTTTGAATTAATCATGTGGTTAGTGTACAAGAACAGACTGTGATTATGAATAGTTTTAAGTATCAGAGAAGAGAGGAATTTGCAACTGCTGTTACTCCAAAGTCTAGCTCTTCTTATTACGCCTTTGGTGATGGCCTTCAATCTCACAGTTTGAATAAATCTGCATAGCTCTTACTTTCTCAGGAGAATTTTTGGAAGAGTTTTGTATATCTTCACAGTGGTCGTTAGACTTCATCAACCTGCACAGGTTAACCACGACAAGCACAGGACAGGCTGGCTCCCAAGCTAGGGTTTGTGTCACTGGGTTATAAACAATATTATCCCATAGTGCCTTCGTATCTGTGCACAAAGAGTGGAAACATTACTCAAGATGTCTAAAAATGAATAAAAATTGTTCATAAATCTGGTACCTATACATGTGCTTAAAACCAAAAGCATTGCTTTTCCATTTACTTGTCATTTTTCACCAATCAGAACTACAGTGTTTCACACTGTGATAGTGTAAAACTTGAATTCATCCCGCCAAAGTGCTGGCATTTACCAGAGGTACTCAACCTGAGAGCTCAGTCTTACCAGTCTCCCACTGCAGTGACAGATGGGCATCACCAGGGCTCTTAAGTAGGCTGCACAAGCTCCTGGAAGTGCATTCTTTGCCCATCAATCACAGGGGGAGTGTAACGCAAGGAAATTCCTAACCAAGAACCTCCAGTTAACTGTGTACGGTAAACTGGAATGAATCCATACATTAGTGACTAGAGGTCATGGTATTGGAGACTCAGATTCTGTGAGTCTTGTTAGGACTTACATGCACACAACGTATATGCAAGAAGATAAATTCAAGCCCTCAGCTGAGTATCAAGAACTCCAAAAGTAAACAAAGCTGTGCAAGTAATTCACAATAAACAATTTTTCTACAGCATTTATATAAATCTTCTTTCTATGTATACTGGGCACACCATAATTTCAGAGCTAGTCAACATATATTTGGGGATATCTTCAATAGGCACTGTTATAAAATAAAAGCTGTCTTATTTATTTGACTGGTCAAATTAATCACTTCATACTGACTTTCTTTTCCATTTAGCTGCAAGTGGATGAGAGAATTTCTAGCATGAAATTCAAACTGATATTTCAGTTCTTAGTTCAAGAAGCAATTTGGAAAGTTTTACATTTGACTAATAGTCACAAGGAGGAGAAAAATGTATTTCTGCAACTATTCGTGAAGCAAAAACTTGAAAACGTGGCCAGCTGCATGTTCAAGAGAAGTGAACAAACAATATCCATGACTAGAAAATGTAGCAAAGTGAAGAAGCATGGTCTACATGAAAGACTGGAAACATCAGGTGTCCAAATTCCACTCCCATCAAGCATAACAACAATTTCTATAGGTATTGCTCCTCTCAGAAATTTCCTGAAATAAAACCTTTTGATATTTTCCAAGAGAAACTTTCCAGGCCCTTTAATTCTGCCAAGCCTCTTGCTGTCTTAACTTTGTCTCTCAATACATCAAAATACTGAAACTTACTGTGAAGTGGAAATTTTTATTCCGTTTTAAAAAAAACTGCTGGAAATTTTGATTAGTTTTAAAAACTGCTGGTTTTAATAAATGGACATATACTATAAAGCTAATGTTTAGAGAATATTTAACCTGACTGCAAAGTCCTGGATCCCAACAGCTCTGACAGTTCACAGCTACGTTTTGAATTATATAAGAGTCTGTAATAATGTAGATATAATGTAAGTGTAATACTAATAGTTAAGAGAATAGCACCACAATTAAGACTTAGGGTTGTTTCCAGGCCTACTCATTGACTTAGTACCTGAGTTTCCTTCTGTTTTCCTCCTTTGTGGCATCTACTTATTAAATCTACTTATCATAATAAAGATGTTCGTTGATCTTCAGTCACATATAATTACATTGTTTAGTAACCAACAGACATTCTTTTTTCCTTTTTTTCTTCTCTTAGTTACATTAACCCAAAACAGTTATTAGATAGAGAAGCTTCTTTCTGATACACAACTGTTAATTATGTCCTACCACAGAACTAACTCTATAATCCCAACTTTATTAAATCAATGATAAATAAGCCAAAAAAAGAACCAATCTACTTCAGATATTCCAGCAAACAGAGCTGCCAGTCAGGAAAAAGATTTAAAAAGAAAATAATGAGGCTCAAAAGCTGGAGCTCCTTATATACTTAAATAGCTGGGTGCTAGGGTCTGAAAAATTGCTTGAGATCCCTGCAAGGAGAATAGCTGAGTAAACAAAAAGTATACCTGTAAAACATATTTCCCATATTCATTTCCTTATCAGAGCTATGAGTTAACTTTTCAATTGTAACTGTCCATGGGAACTTCTTAAATGGACGGATAAAAGCTTCAAGAGCTTCAGTGTGCCAAAGCACACACCACCCTTCCCCTGACTACATAAAGCTTTGTAACCTATACTTCAGCTATCCACATAGTCCTGATTCAATGGTATCAGAGAGGAAAATGACTGCAGTAGGAGGGGAAGGAAAAGCAGACTACAGAAGGAAGGAAGGAATCATGGGATTCATGAGCCCAATTTCCTGCACTTGCAAAGCATAACCATTTCAAGCACAGGAACTAGGTAAAGATAGGAGAAAATCTGGAAGAAAAAAACCTGTGCCCCATAAGACTCAGCCTCAGGCTGAACAGCTACTAAGAATAGAGGTTAGGATTTCATACTGCAGACGGCAAACAGGTTTTGCTTTTGATGACCTTGAAGCCAGATCTGACTACATGACATAGACATAGCTACAGAGCTTGAGCATTCCTATAAGTGCTCTCTATTTACATAAATAGAGAGAAAAAAAAAATAGCCCTTTTTATTTAGTCAAACTGCACTCCATTTCTACAAAGGAATGGTAGTGTCACAAACACTATATTCTACCACAATAAAATAAATTTGAAATGAAGGCTGAGCTTACTAAAGAGTAAATTGCTTCCATTTTAACACAACTGTGTCAGCCCTACAAGAATGTGAAAGCATTGCAGTGAATGTCTATGCAGTTTAATGGAGCCTGGATGTGCTGTTACGGGTTGGTGTTTTCATTCTCTCTCATATTTGGGGGGTTTTTTTGATCAAATACTAAAATCCCTTAATGGGCTTCTTAGCAGAGGCTGGGGAAAAAATATTGTTGTACTTATGTTGGACCTAACACAATAAAACACTTTTCAGGCTACATTTTTTTCTATCTGCCTGGTAAAACTTTCACTAAAGATCCATATAATAGGACAATTTCTTTTTCAGCTGTCATCTCAGACCAAACTCTTGACTTTGCTGGAACATTCTGTGTGAATAATTTCCCATTAAGTATGGGAACTCCCATACGCAGTTAACTGTCTTCCTTTTCAACTCCCTGCTCCCTCCTTCAAGTTGAGTGTCAGCTACCTTCTTCAAATCTCTTCTTGAAGCCCTCTTCTCACACCAGCATTTCAAAGCTGACCTCAGTGCCTTTTTTTCCTTCTGGCCAGTTTGCGTGTGGCTTAAGAAAATATGGGAAATGACTGCAAAGTTACTTAGTGTTTATATTGGCATAAACTTGGTGAACAATTTGGTCTGAAAGTAAGTTATTTCATCTACCTACAGTATAACAAACCAATATGACGATTTCCTTAAAGTTTTGCAATGTATGGTTTTCACTTCAGATGAACTTCAAATTGTGACATACTACTGGAGTTGCTGAAAATCACTCATACAAAGAGTAATCACACAGTACTTGCCATTTTGAAAGGGGCAAAGTTGTATCCTCCTTGCATCTGGAATTGCCAACCAACCCTACAACGCAAAAAGTGGCCATTAGCTAGAGATTCTCAGATACACCAGTTTTTAACATTTCAGATAGAATGTGACAGAAAACCTTTCCACCAAAGATAAAGATGCTGTGTTTATTAGAAAGCTTTGGAAGCATTTTTTTTAAAAAAAAGATGTTTTGCAGTAGATTTCTATTTTATTGTTTATCATTAGGGGGACTGGAGCTGATAAACTAAGGTGATCCCTTCTAACACTATATTCCTACTATTTCTGAGCCATATATTTAGCCCAATTTCATTTAGAAAGCCTTCCAGTTCCAGTTTTCATTAAGTTTCTTACAGTGTCATTACTTTCTAGGGGTATCAAAGGACACTATAATCATAGATTGTAATGGAAAGGATGTATCCTTAAAATCTGAGGACTAATACTTAACCCAATCTGCAAGTATATGTGCATGGCTGTTACTATACCCTAATTATTTAGATTCACGTGTAAATATTTCTATTATAGTTCCCATCTGTTTGCTCAGCAATGGTATTGTGGAATTCTCTGTGTATATGCTGAGAGGAATAATATCTTTCCAGTGACCTCATACCTTTCAGAGTCAAATAAAAAAAATCCTTAGCCTTGGTAAAGTCCTTGTGGTCCAACTCACATATTAAGGTATGTGATTTTAGGTGCCTACAACATATACATCTGTGACTGAAGTGCACAAATTACTGTTACAGTAGCCATATGGAGATCTAGCCAATGCAGCCAGTGGAGTCTACAGTGCTATTCAGTACATCTCAAAATAGCCATCTACGTTTGGTCAGCTGAGTAACTGACAGCATTAACTAGATCTCCATTGACTATAAGAGTTTGGACATCTAATTCAAATATGGATATCTACATCTAGACATTTAGGTATCTTAATTCGCAAGGTAAATCATACCCTAAAATTCACTGAGAAACTAGGTTCACATAGTATCTTTATATCTTATCAAGATTATTTTAAATTGGTTTGGTGACTTTTTATTCCTTTTTATGAAAGATATTCCATAATCTCACTTCTCAGATTATCAGGAAAAAAATCTGTAGCTATCCTTAATATATTCATGGAATGAAGTTTATTCCCCTTCATTCCTGTGGCAAGAATGGCTTTAGCTTAAAAAAATCTGTTCTTTTTCCTTATAAGTGACCCTTCTGATCTGTATTTAGACAACAAATGTACTTTCTCTTTGCATGTTTTACCAGGTTAATGAAAACATATTCTTTGAATCTCCTTTATAAGACAGTCTCTCCATTCTCCAATCATTCTAGATTTTTTATGTACATCTTCCATTTGAATGAATCTTTCTTGAATATGGATACAAGAATTGCTTATACTATTTCAAAGAAGGCCTTGCCCATACTTTCCTGTTAGCTTGAAATAATCTAACCCATTAGAGCTTTGTTCACATTTACATCATGTACGCATGTTAGTTTAATCATCCTCTGATGAACTATTACACTCAGATCTTTTTTCCTCCACTGTTATTTCTAAATGAGGACTTGCATCTTACAGCAAGAATTCTTTTTATTAGAACAAGTGCATGAACTTGCACTTCATACATTACACCTCATTCTCCTTTAGTTAACTTCATGTATGCAGATCTCTAGTCTCCTCTGGTTATCCGGACCCTCCTCCATTTTGATCATACCTCTCAACTGTATTATCAGCAAATCTCATTAACACATTCCCACCTTTTGTGCCCATGTCATTGATGAAAACATTTATATAAGAACTGCTCTAAGTGTGGTCCTTAAATACCTCTCCTACTAGCACAGCCCACTAACACATTCACACAGCACTAACACATTTAACAGGAGTACTTGAGTTAGCCCTCCAGCTAGGTATTATCTACCATACAAATCTTGTTCTCACTCCCAGCTTCCTCAATTCCTCTTTTAGTTTCTCATGCAATACTGTATCAAGCACTATGCTGAAATTCAGTTAAATTTTCTGTCTTTTCATTGCTTATGAAAAATCAGTCAATTTAATCTTACACAATACTTTCCATAAATTAATGTAAATCATATCCCATTTTCTTCTTATCTCCATGTTTTAATTAGTGTTTCCTAAAAAATCTCTTCTACATTTACATAATCATAAGGTCAGACAAGCCTTGGTCAAAAACTTAAGTCTAGAGCCTTTTTCTACAGATTTTTCCTCTTTTTTTAGCACAAATTCCAGATAAAATTTATTTAATCAGAAACACAATTATATACCAAATTCTAGACTGTATTACCTCAATGCAAAGACAAGGGAGTAGCTGAGAATATTTCAGAGAAACTGATTTTAAAGATTCCTTCCCTTTTATCTGAAATGAAAAAGATGGTCATGAATCCAAGATAGTGAGTGACTTTTAATAAAGCTAAATAAAGATATAGAAGAGCATTTCCTATAACTATTACCTCAATAAGCATTTCCCACCAGTTCAATAAACTGCTTTGAGCTTTAACTCACCACAGCAAATGCCCCTATATCTTCACAGGTAAACCATTTGTGGCACAGGCGAACGTAATAATCTTGATCTCGAAGAAAGTTGGATACGTTCACTGATATAATTTTCCTTGCTCTGTCTACATTATAATCAAACCTTCTGGCTGAAGAAGAAAATTCAAACATGAAATTATCACATCTGTTTCTTTATTTCTTCATTATTTCTATTTTGTTATTTCTTTATAAAAGGTACAGAATTTATTTCATAACTTGATGGAGATTAAATTCAACATCTATAGATTCTTACCTAGGATGTCTGAATTAATTCTTTTTATATCCAGACAATCCTAAAGGTATTCTTATTTTACGAGATATAATAATTTTCATGAGAATAAATTTCAATATTATTCAGTTTTGAATTAGCATTGGCAATACTGAGAGGCCAGGACACCTACCAATTCTATCTCAACCTTGGTACTTGAAAACTTATGTAGTTCATGTACAAAAACTTGAAATATACACACTAATACTACTACAAAAGTTGATTATCTCAAGATTGCAATTTCATTACATAGAGAATATGTGCAACTATGTTAGACAAATACAGTATGTGGGAGGATGTGGGGCTTTTTTTTATATTCAAGGGTATGCCAAAATCAGGATAGCAGTTTGGCAAATTAATTTCAATCTATTTATGAGGTCAGTCTATAGACAAAATACAAAACCAGCAATCCAAAGTGCATGGAAAGGACACAAACCTGTTTCCAAGAGTTTAAGTATTAGATAGGTTGTGAATATCTTTATCTGCTATCTAGTGTTTCCAAATCAATATAAAGAAACACATTTTCCAGGACATTACCTATCAACCACATGGTAATTATAAGTAGTGGTAGTTGTAAATAATCATTTTTTCCCCTGATTATTCAGGTATGAAAACGTATCATCGTATAGGTCACCAGAAATATGTCACAGATTTAAGCTGTATAGAAGATCAGCTCACCCAAACAAGCTGGAACATATTTTGCCACATCACTGTTTCTGCAATCTGCAAAATAGAAGCCAGAGTTTTCTTCAGTGCTGCTTTGTAACTGTGTAAATAAACTGCCAAATTATCCAATAGCTTCCTGACAGGAAAGCTATCTCTTATATCCCTTTTTAAAGGCAGATTTACATCCACTTCTAGATAAACAGCAAAAAATAAAAGTACCCTTACCACACACAGAGATTATATCACAACTTGCCTTAAGGAGCTATCTCATCAGTGTGGGGTTTCTACTGGAAAACCTCATCAGCAGTTTAAGGTGGCAATCTAGGATATGACACTCCACTTCTTTACCTAGTACCTAACAATAATTTAAGCAATAGTAAAAATAATTTCAGTTATTCTTTCCTTGAAAGCTACTCCTGTTGTTTACCAGCCTTATTCTTCCATTATAAACAACTGTGTATTTTTGGTATTCTGACTCTACTGTAAGCTTAGAAAGAAACACCTTATTTAGCTCCCAGGTTGCTTACCAGAATTAGAGGCCAGGCTACACTTCCAGAACTAATATCTAATATTTGTATCTCCAAATCTTGATGCAAGAACACTAAATCAGCTCATAATGTCCTGCCTACTGTTTTCACCTCTCCTTGCTTAACTCCATATTAGACCAGCACTTTGCTCTCATTTCCAAAAACAAAGTTCTTTTCCCCAGAGAAATACTTCCTGTTTTCATTTGTTTACTCACCCCTGTAAAGTGCCTTAAAACTGGCCTTTATAAAACATTATTTTCACCCCTCTTTATTCACAAAGTACATATCTACCTCAATAGTGAACCATGATTTATCAAGAAAATGAAAAGCTTTTTTAATACAAAAAGGCTTTACTTCTATGAAAGTGTGAAACAGCCACAACATGTCTGATACTGTGTGCAAGGGATGATGCTGTAACCAAGGGGCAAGGGCAAGAGTCCCCCACCCATGGGCTCTGGAGATGGGAAGGCAGGACAATCCCAGGCACTGGATCCATCAAGGGGTCTCATTTCATTCTCTGCACCACCATTTGGTGCACTTGCCTCCACTAGCCACGCTGTACCTTGGTTGGACCACAGTGCTGAATCTATTTTTATATGCGTATGGTAAGCACTTCACCGCAAAAACATGGAAAAATGCTACCTTACCTTATCCAGTTACATGAAAACAGGCAACAGAACAGCTAGCTAATGAAAGTAAAAAGAAATTTCTTTACACTTTCTTATTAAGCTTTCCTCAGTCTCTGAAACCACCTGTGGCCTAACTATGAAGAGAAGCAGAGGCTCCATCTTATGCACAGAGAGCACACAGAACTGAACCGGCAGGCAGAGAAAGAGCACATGCCAATCACAAGAAGTCCAATTAGGACAAATGCATAGTGTAGTTCAGTTGTCCATGTACTTTTAGATACAAGGTCTGGTCTCTGTTTTTTATGGCAAGTCAGACATTTATACGCACAAAATAAATCATTGAAATGTAGAATAAGACTGGTCCTGGCATACATGATCTACCATCAGTTAGATCAGTGTATCCCAGAATGTGATTTGGCTTTGCATTTAGTTGTTTGGTTTGGTTTTAGGTTTTTTGATTTGAAAAGATGTTTCCTGAAAAACATCTAGTTTAAGATGTTTTCCTACCTTCAACATAGTATTCCTGACTCAGCTTGACTTCACAGTAATTTGGTACTGTTTTCATGGTCACATAGATGTGTTGTGCTACATCAACTTCAATGCAATTGAATTGTACCTGTACCTGTACAAAAGATTTATAAAATCAAGTTCGTGTGTGACATCCAGAATACATGAAAACCACTGGTTATCAGAGTTAAGCAAGTAATATTCTTTGTTCAGATTTATTGATATTTACAAGGAGCATTAAGCAGTCTCAGACACTGCAGCATTAAGAATGTAAAAGAAGCAGATACCACTTAATGAGAGGATTTCAAAGAGTATCATTACTTCCAATCCAGTATGTTGCTATCTTCTTCACTTCCAAAAATCCAAATATCTACAAGCTATCAAATAATCCTAAAAGCGTAGAAATACAGGTACCCAATGCTTACTGAACTTCAAAACCAAAAGGTCTTTCATACCACCAAAAGTCCTAGTTTGTGGGCATTTTACAAGCACAAACATTTGCAGAATATGAAAAAAATGTCTGTTTAAACATTTAATGGCAACTTCAGCAAATTTATTCATTCCAGTAATAGTTTTGAGAGAGAAAGTAATTTAGGAGACAAAAGTTGAGGTCCACTTATAGCAAGTCATTCCCTCACTGATGGTGGTAACTTTTAAATTCCACATAGGTTTTCAGGTTGGATATATTCCTATTTGGTACAAGGCATTTGGAGGGTAAAAGATATCTTACGTCACCATTCTAGTCACTGAACTGAAACTAAGAAAATTTCATTACATAAGTTTGTTGAGTCTTGCCTATAAAACTTACCTTACTCTAAAAGCTATCAATTGTTTATTGCTGGCTCTGCATTGCCTATAGGGACGTTTGATCATCAAGCGACACAGAGCATAAACTGCAATTGCAGTTTGGGAGAGGAACTTTGTTTCACGTGTGCAATCAATACGGCATTTACAAAGCACATGAAGTACCACATTTCGTATGGTATTAATAACAGTTATCCACCAGTAACTGAAAGCAAAAATTCATGTCTTTTAAATAGTTGGTCAAAGATGTTGTGTGGGTGGTTTTTTTTTTTCCCAGTTGCAAATTTTAGTAACAAATACTTCTGGGTTTAGTTTGGTAAAAAATTGTACTCTGCTGTTGCAATTATTACCATAAGTTTAGGACAAATGTGCACAAGTGGCTGTCTTCTAGATGTGTAACTTCCATTGACATGGTTAGACTTAAATAAATCATATGTATGCACTTAAAATCCCTGTGGCATTGTGCTTCCTAGCAATTGGAGTTACAAAAGCTTCCTCACAATTTGGTGGGCACATAAAGAAAGCTAGCAAGATTGATAAGAAAATCAGGCTTTGCAGAGGCAGCTTCTCTTGCAAAAAGGTAAGTGGAAGAAGTATGAAAATGGTGGAGAATTGAATTCATAGTTTATAAAAGAACATTTTGTTATGGAGTTTCATTTGACAATGCTGAAGGCACATATTTCATTGCAGTTTTCCACAAAGTCAGTAAGAGAAGAAAATAAGAGAGATATAAAATATTTTTTTTTCCAAAGGCTCATAAACATTGAAATGAAAAACAACCCAAAAAAGGAGCCTACCTTCTTTCCATTAAGCATCTTGGTTTTTTTCCTAGCAAATCTCACATGCGTACACTGGGATTGCTGTGTGTCCAGTGAAAGAGAACATATTTCAAGTCCACGGATATTCTCTGAAATTAGTTAGGAATAGATTTCAAAAATATAATTTAAGCATCTTTAAGAAAAACAATAAACAATAAACAAACAATAAACCATATCATAAGCTTTCCCTCTAATTGAAAGGCACATGTATTTTACCTCTACTTAAAAAGGGGCACTATATATAACACACACATAGAGGTAGGAGCAAGGATTTAACACAGATTGTTATAAATTAAAGCTTTAATTATGCAAATTCTTATGCAAATTTTAAAACAAACCTAATAACTCTGAGTGAAGCACACCAGGAAATATCTAAATGGTAACACACTAAAGCACATGAATGGCAGGGTATTAGTAAAAATAGACTATGAGCAAAAATTTTGAGTGCTTTCATTTTATTTTAGTGCAGAATTGTAACTTCAGACACATAAACTGTTTCTCCTTCTGTTGGGGCAGTTGCTCATGTCTGAGTTACCAGGGCAGACAGAATTTGTATTTGTGTGTGTCTGTGTGCGCACGCATGCGTGCATGCGTGTCAGAGCAAGAAAGAAAAGGGCTGCAGTATGCTTGGAGCACTAGTAGAAATCAAGTTAAGTGTATTATGCTGGAAGTAAAAATTCAGTTGTCTTGAATTCATTATCTCAGTTCTCATTCCCTTGAGAAAGGCTATGGCTTTATCCTGGTTTGTAGTAAAATGGTTTCACAAAAAGTATCTTTCACATATAATTACACAAAACCAGCCTGGACACAAATATTGCAATATGGGACAATATTTAGCTGAACAGCTATAAACAGAAAAGTAAACAGAAACGATTCAGTAGCAAATCTGCTTCCTACCATGAAGACTCAGAGTTCCTTTAACGTTTAAATGAAGAGAGCATGGGCTTCCTTGGACACACTTCATCACTGTTGAGATCTTCATGCTTTTCAGTACCGTAGAAGATAAATGTACAGGAGCATCATGGCAGAAGCTGTTAAAAATGCCACCTGCAAATGCAAATACAAAGAGAAATCTCATTATGCACAGGATATCTGGGGCAGAGAAAGCACCAAAGGTGAAGCTCCAGCTTTACTGAGATCAGTAGGAAAGTCACCATTGACTTCAGCAAAGCCAGCACTTTACCTAACACTTTCACATGGCAAACATAGCTAGTTGGCTTCACTTGCAACACAGGGGGGTTGGAAAGAACTACATTACAGATGGGGTTTGATAACAAATTTCCTGGCTTAGGGAAGTGTTAAGCCACAAGAGGAAGGAATCACACTTCTAACGGTTAAGGCTAGCAGAGCACATCTAGACTAACAGTGCTTTAAAATAATCAGATCTGCTAGATCATGGCTAAACTAAGTTTATTTAAATTTTATTTCAAAACAATTACCTGTATATTATGAGCATTCTCATAGGTAGCATTTTAATTTTAGGATTGGTTGATGGTCTCAACTGCTGTTAAAATATCACTTTCACACAAGAGGGCACCATTGCATTCCTAGTCATGGAAAAATCCCTCATACTAACAGGATTTCCTTCTGCTTTAGACCAGAACAGCAAAAGCAGAATAAATATTATCCAGGCCTTCTTCAAGGTGTAAACAGTAGGCACAGAACACAGCTACTATGTCTCATCTTATTTCCCTATGCAAATTTAGTCATCCCAAAGCCTTAGGACATTGGTTTCCACAGCCAGTCGCCTTCTGTAGGCTAACGTAAAAAAAAAAAAAAAAAGGCCCCAAATCTCACCAGTTAGCCATGCTTCATCTCTTTCTACTTCTCAGACTGCCCTGCATAGAAATCAGTTATTTATTTATGAAGTTATGTTGGTACACTGGATTTAATCCCCAATGCATTTCTTGGGCTCCTCTACCTCACATACATTGTTTGTAGTCCCCAAAATTAAGAGTTCAAGAAACTATCAGAACAAATAGCCATGGAATTGGGTTTTGTCCCTTGGCATTATGGTATACAATGCAGCACACCTCATTTTATCTGTAACTACATCATAGCAATTTCTTCGAAATATTTCTCACCCTTCATACTTTCGTACATGGTATGAAAGTTAAAAGAGACCCAAGTAAAACAAAGTATTTCACTGCACATTCTCCTCCCCTCTGGGGAGAGGTTGAAAGAACAAAAAAACATTTGAATCTTATTAGTCATACTGCTTAACATACTCCTAGAAGGAGTTCAACAAGCATGGCAAAGAGCATAGTATGAAACAGCAGTGCCATGATACTGTGTTTGCCATAAAATACAGGATAATACTCTTAACTCAAATCATCAGGAAGGGGTGCATCCCTCAATGTCTAGCCAAGAATTGTTGTCAAGTGTGGATGCCCATTGACTCACATGGAAGACACATCTACAGTTCTCGCAGAAGAAAGGTAGGATGTGGAGGAGGAGGAAGGGCAAAGTTTATCCTTACTTACCCCTCCAACCCCTCCAATGAAGGAAGGTGCTTTAAATTTAAAGACTGAAAGTGTATTAACCTGTACAGGACCTCTCTCTATATTATGAGATCTTCACTTTCACAGTGCCCAGTTGCAGCTGAAGCCCATTATCAAGGATCAGATACTGACACATGCAGGACATGAAGACAGGCTGACACAAACGGGGTACCTTGGCTTGAATCTGTCAGGCCTTAAGGTGCCCTCACACTTGGCATCAGGGGAAATAACTCCTGTGTGATACATATCAAAAGTCAGAAAAGACAAACGCTTCACACCTGAATCTCCACTCCATTATCCTGGTTTTGTGCCATTAAGCATCTTTTGAGGGCAACAGGATATGCTGATATGAACTAAGTGGAAAAGAATGGAAAAACTTTACCTCAACTGACAGTAAGTCAACTCTCAATTATCCAAGGTAATATTGGCAACGAGAGAAGACAATTTATGCAAATCGATGAAAAAACACAGATCATTCAATGTACACAAATTTGGCTTTAAGAGCAGTGGAGTACATTGACTTTTGAAGAATTTGTAAACATTTTTCCACAGAGGTGAGGCAGCCTTAAGAAGTACAGTGCACAGCAGCCAGATGTGAACACTATATTCCGTGTTCCAAGAACGGGTGGTGTAATAATCGTGAAGGTATTTCAGGTGGAGAGTTATTGTACAACACCCAATCAATCCACTCATGGTTAATTGGGAAGTTACTATATTGCAGAAGTACCTGATAATTATTACTAACAACGTGATAAGTGATGATCAGTTTTAGTTCTGTCTCTTTGCTCAAAAATATATTTTCTTGACTGCATCATATGATATGCAGTTGTGGATACCAAATGGTATCCAGGAGCAACTGTTTCTGCTTAATTCCTTGGTGGTTGGTGTAAATTTCTTGATCCAGGCCTATAATCTTGCCCATTCCCATGTCTGTGTAGAAGTTATTTAAGGGAAGAGCAATGTATATATACATACGTTGTGAAAGCTGACAGTTCTTTACAAAGTATTCTGTTTGGGTGAATTTGACCATATTATTTGACTGTACCTCTTTTCAGGAGAGACTGTCATGACTTAATTGAATTCAGTCCTTAGTTATTGCTGCCTGAGGTATAGTATTATCAGATATCACAGGCTTGGAACTACCTCAGGAGAATCCTAAGTCAAATCTAGGTGCATTACTGACATTGGATCAGTATCAGGCAGATGCACAAACACAGTTTTAGGGACTACTATCTGTCATGAAGCAGGGACACTGTCCTTCTTGATCACAGTTTCTACCTTCAGACTGAGAACAAGTAAGTAATACATTGGATAAAATAAAATGACTCTTCCACTTTGGATTTTTTTCTGTTCATTTTATGATACATTTTGAGAATTGCAAAAGATGCTGCAAAACTCATTAATAATAATTTAAATGGATCATATCATGCATGAGGATACTAGTTTTGTATTACAATAAATATATGATACAAGGAAGAGATGACAGAAAAAAATTTTCATTCTATAAATCATCACAGTATAAGACTCATTTCTGACTAATTAATCAGTAAACTCTTACCTTACCATCTTTTAATCCCCCCCACCCCCCTTAGACAGTTTCCTCTGGAACACACACCTCTTTCCTTTTCTCACGAGTAATTTGATCTACACCCCAGAAGACATAAAGATCAATCTAGCTACACAAACCATCTGTGGAGTAAATCTTGCTTAAATTTTATGTTTATGAACTACAACTGTAATCAGCCCTACATGAGAGAGGGATTGTTGCTGTAATAAAAGACACCTTAATTATGGACACATATAAGCCCAGGCATAAAGAAGCCAAGGCTTATTATTCAGCATGTAGACACCTTCCTTGTACTTTTGCCATCAGCTCAACCACAGCAGATTATTTTTTTATCTGATGATGCAGCAATCAACTCAGAACTGTCACGACAGCAAAACACACCTTTTGTACACTTAGATGACAGAAGCCAGAGCTCAGCAATGAATATGCAATAGAAATGATTAGATGGATAATTTGAAGCCTCAAGCAAGAAGATGAAATTGGAGAACAGCAAAAAAAAAAAATTGCAGGAAAAACCCATTAATAACAGGTCCAGGCCAATACCCAGTAGAAAATCCTAACTGTTTTTTTTGTCTGATATTGTAAGAATCTGAACTACTTAGGATACTGACAGTGCTAAAACTGTGAGCATATCTAAAGCACACTAAAATTTCTTCACTGGAACATCATTCCATGAGTATAAATTACAGTAGCATTTCAAGCCTATTTGCATATGATTTACCATAGCACCTGCTGCATCTGTGCGTTAGGATGATTCAACAAAATTCATAAACAAACTAGATATGCTCTCCTAAGATAACCACATAGTGCACTTCATTTAATAAATACCAAAATTTGCTACTTAAAAGTACTTACACCAATTATGAAATTGATGAAATTTCAGACTGACAGCCTCCCTTTCACAATAGATTTCAATGCACAGTAAATTAGAAGGGTTTCACAGTTGTATGTTCCAAAAATATTTCACACTTTCAAGGATATTGGACAACATGGTGATATACTGTGCCAAATACATTTTCTGAGAATGTAAGGCTTTTTTAAAATCTTTGATATATTGATATTGATATCTGGATAAATTACTGTAAATTTCAAATACTACAGTAGCCCTTATGTACTACTAATACTCTAGAAGAGCAGAAGGGAGAAGGCAGAGTCAAAGCTACATTGCTAAATACTACTGAGATTATAGCTGCAAATTCTAGGAAATAAAGTCATCTTTTTGTTGCAACTAAAAGCAATGACTACTGCAAAGGTGCTCTATTATATAGTTACGGTCTTTTAAGGTAATTTTACCTCAAATAATAAATAATAAAAAGAATGACTATAGAAAAGGAAGTATGGAAATGAGTATACACCCACTGTTGCACAAGTGAATTAGGATGAAGACTAAAAAAATGTTTTCTCACCACCCCTATAAAGCTGAGTCATCCTACACGTTACTTGTATTAAAGACAGCTGTTAAGTCATTTTCAGGCAGCACTGAAAACCTAAAACCAGCTCTGCTTCATGTACATCATCTTGAAAGACAAGGATCTTCAGTTTACAAACTCTTCAGTGCCCAAAGTCTATATCCAGCTAAGAGCTAAACATCTAGTTTAAGCTTATGTGCATCATCTAAGCACCTCTGGCAGTCAATAGCGAGGGAGAACCCCTCTTGCTTCCCTCCCAGCACATCAATCACCTTGTCCTAAGATGGGTGGAATGAATCACCACCTCATGGTACCTGTAGTGAGTCTCCACTATCTAGATCTGCATTTGTGTAATACCCAGCGCAGATTTTAATTCATAACCAACAATATTGCAGGTATCCTTCCCTCTGAGACCAGGGTTGAAGGGTTTGGTTTCCTGTGCTGCCCGAGGGCATGAAGGCATGCTTCAGCTAGGCAGAGCAAAGGTCAACCCCCCTGCTTCTGC